CAAACCAGGAGCCACCCATATTGGCAGTGAACTTCTAATCAGAGGATTAGAGTTCAAATTCTAGCTGTCCCAGCTGCTAGACATGTGTGATCACGTGTGTGATTACTTGGCCTCCCTTGAGCAAGTTTCTCTGTATAGACTATAGAAGTAACAGCTATCACTCAAATGTGGTTTGTGGGGGATTAAATGAAAAAATATGTGCAAGTGTATAATAAAATGTAAAATCTTATATCAAACTAGTGGCCTGGTGCATGGAATTCGTGCACATGGAATTAGAGGAAATATTTTAATATTGCTATTTGCCTTTTCTCTATAATAGAAGTGTCAGAGATGAAATAAAATTAGTAAAATGTATATGAAAATCTCCCTCCTGTCAGAGCCTGGGGTGTGCATTGGGACACAGAGTCAAGTCCCCACCAACCCGTGCTCACCTTGAAATCGCGCGAGACCCAGACCCGGCCATCCCCACCCCTGACAAGCCCCACAGGGTGTGGGGGCACGGCCTCAGGTCCCCTGGCACAGCCTCAGGTCTCCCTGCCCTGCATGCATGGCCTCAGGTGCCCCAGCCCAAGCTCCCGGGTGGGGGGCAGCGTGACCTCAGCTCCCCCAGCCCTGGCGTGAGGGTGCGAGGGCGTGGCGACCATTTGCTATAAATTCATCCTTTATTATATAGGATGAATGTGACATTGTGGTGTTAATAAACACTGTATTAGGCAGAGAAAAGTTCCTGCCCACTAGAAACTCATCATCCAGGAGGTAAGACAGGCATGGACAGTTACATTAGAGTATGTGAAATCTTGCACAGGTGTATGTACAGGTGATCAGGGAACACAAAGAGCAACTATAATCTGGAAGTGGATGGATAGGGAAAACTTTGTGGAGGAAAGAGATCCTGAGCTGAGTCTTACAGGTTAAGGAAGGGCAAGCCTGGTAAAGAAGGAAGGAGAAGGGAAAGTCGTCCCATGTTGAAGGAGTGGCATGGAGAAATATGGTAATTAGGAAGCTGAAAATATGTATGCAGGTATGTCTGGAGCATAAACTGTCTACTTGTGTGCCTCATTTGATTGTCAGGACACTTACCTAATTCTAAAGAGGCAATGTTACTGCACAGTGGTTAGCAACTCTAGAAACAGACTTGGCCTGAAACCTGGTCGGATCATTTACTAATCAGTGATATTTAATTAAGAATTATACCTTCATAAACTTTCAGGATCCATATGATGATATAAGTGTCTATTTCAAAGGGTGGCTGCAACAATTATTTGAAATAATGTTTGCAAATGTCCTGGTGTTTAATAAACACCTTATAGTGTCAGCAGCAGTTTCTATTGCTGTCTTGAAAGTTTTAGAGTTACTTTTTTCCCCTCCCGGTATTCTCTAACCTACTATCTAGGCAATATTTTAAATGCCAACTCTTGTTTGTTATAATAGAATCATAGAAACAGAATTTGAATGAATTTTAAAGCGAGTCTAGCTTTATTTCATTATTTTGTGAGTGAAGAAACTGAGTTAAGTAACCTGGCTGTGAGTCCGTGAGTCAGCAACACAGCTGAAACTGGAATCAGGTCTCTTTCCAGAGCTCTTTCTGTTGGTCTTGTAATAAATTGCCCAAATCACTCAGTGACACCAGCCTAGAGTATTGGCACAATTCATTGCAGAAACGACATGTTAAAGTGTAGAAATTGGTATTTCTGTAGCTTTGCAGATAGGCAAATATATTTTTTTAAAGGAATACAATCTCTTTCTCTGCCTCCCTCTGTTGAAAGTGCTGTTTAACAACAGCACATGTGAACAGGCAATGAGAGGTGGGTAATAAGGAACCAGATATTTCTCAAATAAATAACTCCTTTGCTGTCAAGAATTGCTTATGCAGACAAATTTCTATTTCTGTTTATTAGGGTCTCTTCACTAAAATGTGAAAATAGATTTTGATAATGCTTGTCAAATACACGTGTTCTACTTCATTTATTCAAGAAGATCCAATAAATAATGTGTTGAACACTCTTTGTGTACCAAGTGCTAGGGATAGAATGGTGAGCCAGAAGCTTATGCTTTAGTGATTAAACAGATATTGAAATAATAATTATACAAATAAATATAAGTAGTTAAATGCTATGCACAATAAGTACAAAGTGATTTATGATCATATAGCAATGTTTGGGAAGACTCCTCTGAAAGTGTTAATCGAGATATGAAGACTCAGTAAAGTAAACAGGTGAATATGAGTCACAGGGATGGGGAAAAGGGTTTAATCCTATGAAACAGCCTGTGCAAGGCCCTGAGGAGGGACATAGAATGATCTGTCCTAAGAATTGAAAGACAACTAGTATATTTGGAGCAGAAAAGGCTAAGACAAAATGCAAGTCCTGGTCATGAGAAGAGAAGGTAATTATTAGGCATCCCCAAAGATACCACGCAGCACAAGAAGCAAACTCCCCACCCCCCGAAGTAAACTATATTAGAATTTTGTTTAAAGATTCATTATAAAGAAGATTACTTTAGAATCACTATAATATTTAATTTACTAGGTAGAGTAATGCTAGGATTTGGGCACTTCTAACTATGTATTACTTTTCATTTGATTTTTCTGTCTTTCTATCCTGGCTCATTGGAATTGAGGGAATATTTTTATGTGTGTTTATGTTAGGGCTTTTTGCTGTTGATTAGTTAACAGTCTAGAATTGACAAAGAATCTTATCCTATTTTCTTGGCTAAGGTTTTTGTGTGGGTGTGTGAGATGCAGCTGCATTGTTGTGTTTTTGGCAATCAAGACAGGGCAATTCTTAATGCACTTCATCTTGAATAGGATGAAATTTAAGAGTAAAAAGGCTACTTTCAATATTTTAAATATAGTGGAAGGTACCCAGGGCCTGAATCTTTGGCTGATATTCTAAGTTATTTGGCTAAATTGATACAGCAACCTCTGGCACATGTCTAGGCTTATGGTAGGAACACATGAAGGAGAGAACATGAAGAAAATAGTCAAAGCTTTGAATCAATATAAAATTATCAATTACCATATATAATTTTAAATGAATTTTTGTTAATTTTTAACTAGTAATTTATTTAAGCTTTTTCTCTAAATAATGAAAAAAAGGCAGATTCATTTTTATACAGATGGACTCCCAGGTCTGCTTTTATTGCTCACTTGTTTTCTTCATTTTTCTTGGACCTTTTCTGTGGTATATAAACACTTTGTTTTCCAAAATCCTTAAATTAAATGCAGATAATATGTAACTCTTCATTTTTCAAGTGTATTTGCATCATTTCCTTTGGATAAACTATCATGGTCCTTCATACTCTTCAAACAAATGTCTGAGTTACTTCCAATATTTAACTGGTTGTTAATTAATATTATTTTTCTGAGAATAGTATAGCATCAGGTCCTGTGGTTGGTCAGCCTAGGTTCAAATTTAATCTTGCTACTGACTACTTTGGTCTCACTAATGTCTCAGTTCCTCATTTCCAAAATGGAGATGATCATGTTAGTGCCTCATAAGTTTTGTTTTTTTGTTTTGTTTTGTGTGGGTTTTTTTGGTGTGTGTGTGTGTGTGTGTGTGTGTGTGTGTGTGTGTGTGTGTGTGTTTAAGGCTCAAAGGAAAAAGTATATATAGAAAGTTTAATTCAAAATCAGTGTCCAGAAGAAGAGATGCTGGCTATTATTTTCCTCACGATTTTGATTCAGTCTCTTAGAATCCATTAGTAGCTATCCTCATTCTTCTGGAAGTTCTCATTCAGTCTAATCTGTATGCTGATGACTCCCAATTTATGTCTCCATTCCTAATCTCACTCTTTCCTAAGCTTCAGACTTGTATATTTGACTGCTTATCTACACTTTAATATCTACTACATACTTCAAACATAGCATGTCTAAAAACAGAACTTTGATCTCTGCCACCTGCCGGTACTTGCCTCCCCAGTCAGTCCCCACCATTCTTTCCTATCTCAGTTAGTGGCACCGTCCTCTGTACTTCTTTGGGGCTTTACTTTAGCTATCAACCCCCATCTACTTTATCAGCACATCTAGCAGCATTATCCCAGAATATGTCCTGAATCTAACCACATGTCACTATATTCTCTATGAGCACCATAATCCAAGGCAATAATCTCTTTTGCTTGGGCAGATATATAAGGAATGGTTTTCTTATTTCTCTGTTTTCAGTCTTGTTTCCTGTAATCCATTCTCTACATTTTGAAGGCTGATAGTTTCAAAACATAGATTATTTTATCCTTACCATCTTATTGAAATTCAAAAAATGTCCAGAATTTTTTAAAACCCTCTGTGATCTGGACTCTGACTTCTTTTCTTCCTATCTCTTAACACAGCTAGTTCATTCCTATCATAAGGTCCTTACATTAACTTTTCCTGCAATTTCGGATATTTTTCACCCAGATCATCACAGTGTTGGCTCCTTGTAATTTTCAGGCCTCGGTCTTGATAATAGCTCTTCAGAGAGGTTTATCCTGAGATCTTTCTTCCTTAATAGCTGATCAATAACTGAAATCTGTCCCCTTTTCTTTTTTTCATAAATTGCCCCTCCCTACTCCCACGGTAATTTATGTTCCATGAGGGCAAGACTTTATTACCATATTCCTGGTGCATATGTGGAAAGAATGATGAATAATAATATTTCTACATTCAGGGAAATAATGGTTTATTTCATCCTGCACAAACTTTTCATAGATGCTTATTTTAGAATTAACCATGATAATATTTTGTCTCTTTTAATGTGTTTTCTCTGTTCTAGATTTGTAAGCCCTTTAGGGTAGGAGGTATTTCTTCATTGTTTTTAGCTCTCATAGAATGCTAAATACCATTTTAGTACTTAACATTGAGTGAATTGAATTGAAAAATTCAGCCTAACATCTTTATTTCCTCTGAATTTAGAGTAATGATATATGTGTGTGTTTATGTGAATCTATATAAATAGATACATAATTTATATAAATTCTGAAAATAGGTGTGTATAAAATATTCCTTCTCCTTTTATACTTTGTAGTTCATAATTGGACCCTTGAGGACACACTTCAGTGGTTGATAGAATTTGTAGAACTACCCCAGTATGAAAAGAACTTTAGAGACAATAATGTCAAAGGAACAACGCTTCCCAGGTGAGTCTTTATTATCCAAACGTATATTTTCCACTCATGGAGAGTTATATGCTACATGTTACTTTTCATTGCCAAATCTACGAGTTACTTCTGTGGCTAAGAACTCAAAGGATATATTATACATATATCCATTCTTTAATATTTGAAGGTATGAGTTTTTGCAAGTTTTAATCAATTTTTCTTGTCTAAACAATACCAAACACCCTTTAAAAAATTTATACCCAAGAAAAGTAATTTTGAGAATGAGAAGGTGGGCCAGCTGTATCTTTTTTTAGATAACATCAAAGGAACCAACCTCTGACCATCTGGGAAATATGAAAAAAATTTGTTTATTTGATAAAGATCCACCTTTATGAAAAGATCTGTTTGAATCGATTAATTTATAGATCCTTCTTAATTGGCATTCTTTTAATAACAATAACTACTCAGTATTAGTGGCCATAAGTTAAATCTTAAAAACTGAATTTTAATGAACGAAATGTAAATAATAGCAAGCACTTTTAACTCTAAATTGCATAGAGGTACTCTATATTATCTCATTTAAGCTTCATGGTTAACATGAACTATGTATTATTATCCCCATTTTATCGATTAAAAAAACCAAGTCAGAGAGAAGTTAAATATTTTGCCCAAGGCAGCATCTGAACACAAATAAATCTGATACCAGAGTTTAGGATGTTAATCTATCCTTTCTATGTCTGGAGTTGTTACTGGTTTTCTGAATTATATTTCCTAAATCTCCATTAGTAAACTTAATATTTATAGATTTTAATGTTAAAATTTGCAATAATTCTACTAGAATTTGACCCTTACAAGATTGCTTATGTTTCATTCCTCCCTGGATTGTTTCTTATACCAAAAAAAGCTCTAATCCCTTTTTATTATCTAATTAGAGGCCCGGTGCATGATTTCCTGCACCAGTGGGGTCCCTTGGCCTGGCCTGCGGCATCAAGCCAAAACCAGCTCTCTGACATCCCCCGAAGGTCCCAGATTGCGAGAAGGTGCAGGCCAAGCTGAGGGACACCACAGGTGCACAGTCGGGGCCAGGAAGGGATGTGGGAGGTTGGCCAGCCCGGGAGGGACCGCAGGAGAGCTACGGGGCATGTCCAGTCCGTCTAGCTCAGTCCCGATTGGCTGGACCCCAGCAGCAAACTAACCTACTGGCCGGAGTGTCTTCCCCCTGGTGGTCAGTGCACATTATAGCAACTGGTCGACCAGTCAACTGCCCCCTGGTGGTCAGTGCACATCATAGCGAGTGGTTGAGCAGCCTTAGCATATCATTAGTACATTATGCTTTGATTGGTTGAACAGACGACAGGACCCTTAGCATATTAGGTTTTTATTTATTTTTTATTTCTTATTTTTTTAAAATTAAATCTTTATTGTTCAGATTATTACAGTTGTTCCTCTTTTTCCCCCCATAGCTCCCCTCCACCCTTCCCCCCCCCACGCCCTCACCACCCCCCCCCAGTGTCCTCATCCATAGGTGCACGATTTTTGTTCAGTCTCTTCCTGCATCCCCCTCACCCCTTTCTGCCCCAAGAATAGTCAGTCCACTCCCTTTCTATGCCCCTGATTCTATTATAATCACCAGTTTATTCTGTTCATCAGATTATTTATTCACTTGATTTTTAGATTTACTTGTTGATAGATGTGTATTTGTTGTTCATAGTTTGTATCTTTACCATTTTCTTCTTCTTCCTCTTCTTAAAGGATACCTTTCAGCATTTCATATAATCCTGGTTTAGTGGTGATGAACTCCTTTAGCTTTTTCTTATCTGTGAAGCTCTTTATCTGACCTTCAATTCTCAATGATAGCTTTGCTGGGTAAAGTAATCTTGGTTGTAGGTTCTTGATATTCATCACTTTGAATATTTCTTGCCACTCCCTTCTGGCCTGCAAAGTTTCTGTTGATAAATCAGCTGACAGTCATATGGGTACTCCCTTGTAGGTATCTGACTGTCTATCTCTTGCTGCTTTTAAGATTCTCTCTTTGTCTTTTGCTCTTGGCATTTTAATTATGAGTGTCTTGGTGTGGTCCTCTTTGGATTCCTTTTGTTTGGGGTTCTCTACGCTTCCTGGACTTATAAGTCTATTTCTTTCATTAGGTAGGGGAAGTTTTCTGTCATTATTTATTCAAATAGGTTTTCAATATCTTGCGCTCTCTCTTCTTCTGGCACCCCTATAATTCTGATGTTGGTATGCTTGAAGCTGTCCCAGAGGCTCCTTACACTATCTTCGTATTTTCGGATTCTTTTTTCATTTTGCTTTTCCGGTTGGGTGTTTTTTGCTTCTTTGCATTTCAAATCTTTGACTTGATTCTTGTGCTCCTCTAGTCTGCTGTTGGGAGTCTGTATAATATTCTTTATTTCAGTCAGTGTATGCTTAATTTCTAGTTGGTCCTTTATCACAACCTCAAGGGTCTCATTAGATTTCTTGAGGGTCTCATTAAGTTTATCGGCAGTTTCTAGAAAATTCTTGAAAAACCTTACAAGTGTGGTTTTGAACTCTATATCCAGTAGTTTGCGTTCCTCCATTTCTGTCATTTGTGTCCTGTTTCTTTGTCTCCGCATTTTTTTTATGCTTCCCTGTGTCGATAGAGTGGCTTTGTATGCTAGGTGTCCTATAGGGCCCAGTGGCTCAGTCTCCCCAATTACCTGAGGTAGACACTCTTGGTGCACCCCCTTGTGGTCTTTGTGCACAGTCTTGTTGTAGTTAAGCCTTGATTGTTGTAGATAATACTGGGAGGGATTGGCTTCCAGGTCAATTGGCTGTGAGAATCAGCTGTGTCTGCAGTGGGAGAACTTCTGTGCTGGAGACACCCCTCCAGGGCAAGACTTGCTTCAATGGGGCTTTGGTGCTCACTGAGTCTGCCCCCTGAATGTGTCCTTTATGAATCCGAGGAGCTGCAATCTGGATGGTCCCACTCTGACCACCAGGCACACTGGCTCCTGGATCTCTAAGGAGGTGCTAATCTAGCCTCTGCCTGAGGCTATCCAGCAGGAGCCAGCTGTGATGAAATGCAAGTTGCCCTGGGGCCTTGGGCCAGCTGCAGTTTGTTAGGTAATTATCAGATTGCAAAGGGCCAGGCCTTTCATATGCAAAAGCCTCCTTGGTGGGGTCCCAGGGGATCAACAGGGTGGAGTGAGCAGTTATGGCTGCTCTCAGTCCTGTCCCCAGAGGTCCTGCTTCTCAGTGTCCCTGCAATCGCTGCAAGCACCCCCAAGAGAAAGCTGCCCTCGAGTTCTGACCGATGCCAGACAGTCCAGTTTCTCCCGTATGAGTCTGGGTCCCCAGAGACTCGCCCGGAACTGGAGCTCAGAGCTTGAGACTTCCTCATGATTGAAAAAGACAACTGTGTCCTCAGCTGCCAACTCTCTCCACATGCGCCTCTGTACCTCTGTATTTTACTTCCGCACCACACCTCCTCTGAGTCTCGGTATGCTTTTCTCTTCTAGTTGTAGAATTTCCACTCAGCCAGCCTTCCTGTGGTTCTGGATGATGTCCATTCCGTCTTTTAGTTGTATTTTTGAAGTGGTTGTGCGAGGCAGCAATCTCCAGTGTTTACCTATGCTGCCATCTTGGTTTCTCTCTATTAAGTTTTTATTATATAGGATAGGATTATTACACATGATGAAATATGCACATTGTATTTCTAATCAATTTGCTTACCTACTCTATTTAAATAAGTGACTTTTGTTGATTGCAAGTCTGTATTTTGAATCAAGTTGGAAGTTTTCACATTTCCCTTAAATGTATTCTGAATATCAACATCAGTATTTTTTATTTTACTGTGCACATGACTATAGTGATGAAATTATGGGTATAAGTGTCAGTTCAACAAATGCATATTGAGTATCTTTATGTTCATGGGCAACTAGATGCTGGAAAGAAGACAAAAATTAAATATGATATAGTTCTTGCTTTTAAATAAGACAAATTAAAACAATCAGGATAGTAGAGCATTAAAATGGGATTAGAGTTTTCCGAGTTATATATGTTACCCTGGTTATGAGGAACTCACGTTACTTTTCTTATGTTGTCTTTTGGGAAGTTTCTTTATAAAACAACAACATTAAATAAAATTGACTGCTCTGTATTATGGCAGTAAATGTTATAGCCACTTTTTCTTTTGATTAAATAAAGGATATCAGAGATACCTCAAATCTGGTAGAATTATTGAAATAATACACACTTAATCAAGATCAATTTTTAGAAATAGTGAACATGTTTTTAAAGAAGAAAAGTTAAGTATGTAGAAGCTTTCAGGTCAGCCCATTGGACTCTTATATGGTACTGTAGTTAAATAAGTCCATTTAAAGAGGCAATATCATTTAAATTAAACAACCATGTAAGCTACAGAGCATTTTGTAGGGCAACTGCAGATATAGCAGCTATTTATAAAAAGGTATTAGAAAATATATTACACATTCTAGATGTATACATGCCTAAAACAATTCATTATTGTTTCCTCTCTGTGACATTAAAATATTGTTACCTCTGAAATAGATAGCCAAAAGTATGTTAGTTTTATGTTAGTTATAATGGTTATCTTAAGCCTTTTACTGTATTTTCTATTCTCTGTAATTCTTATTACCAGAGCTTATACTAAGGCTCTCTTCACCTGATACATTCCTCCTCATTCCTTTCAGACTTGTGTGATCTTCCCTGACATCCTCACCCACTCAGGTAGAATCACTTCCACCTCTGGGCTCATATTGAACTTTGCATAAAAATCTGTTACATAGTTTCCTTTTTACTACATCTCATTGTCTTTCTTAAATTTGGTCTATTGATAGTATTACTATGGATTCGTTCATGCATCCATCCATGCATTAATTCATCTATTATACAAACATGTATCAAGCATCTACTTTTGCCAAGCACCATGCTAGGTTTGGGGATACAGAGCGAAGATCGTTTTTGCTTTCAAGGACTTTGATAAGTGTCATATTAAAGGAGTAATAGGAACATACACGTAAGGTACCTGTGGAGAAGATGAAGGAAGACAGTCTGTAAAGGGAAAGTTAGAGTTCTTTACTCTCTAAAGTTTTATAGAAGCCTTATAGGAGTTCCTGTAACTTCTTCATACTCAGGCTCTGTATTGCCCTAACTCAAGTGTAGTGGTTCAGGTGCAGTCGTTGGAATCATACATATTTGGGTTTGAATCTCTGCCTTACCTCTTACTAATTATGTAATCCTGAGCAAGTTACTCAACCTCTCACTACCTTAGTTTCCTCATCTATAAAATGGGTAAAATATATATATATATATATATGTATGTGTATATATACACACACACATACACACTCACACACAATATAGTTTGTTTTGAATTTTAATTAAGCCCTCACATAGGTCCCGGCACATGGTACATGCTTGTTTTTATTGTCATTGTTATTAACAATTACATTATTATTATTATTGTTATTAAACTTTGTGTTATAAGATCTTTATTAGCATTATACTTGGTTGTTAAGAAATCTTAGCTGACTACTGACTGAGATCCCTGCTTACTTTTTTCATAGCTAATAAAATGGGTCAGTACTTCTTATTACATAAATCCTTCAGTTCACTTTCCCAACTAATAATGACTGCTTACTTTCCACTTATGACTTAGAGGACTTTGTTTAATTTTTAAACAGTTTAAACCAGTGGTTCTCAACCTTCTTAATGCCGCGACCCTTTAATACAGTTCCTCATGTTGTGGTGACCCCCAACCATAAAATTATTTTTGTTGCTACTTCATAACTGTAATTTTGCTACTGTTATGAATCATAATGTAAATATCTGATATGCAGGATGTATTTTCATTGTTACAAATTGAACATAATTAAAGCATAGTGATTAATCACAAAAACAATATCTAATTATATACGTGTTTTCCAATGGTCTTAGGCGACCCCTATGAAGGGTCGTTTGACCCCCAAGGGGTCGTGACCCACAGGTTGAGAACCGCTGATTTAAACGTTAAACTGTCAAGGTATAGACTTCTTAGATACTATTTTTTAAAGTCTGCTATTATAATTTTCTTGTTCTTTGTGAAATGACAGATGTCAGGTAATTAATGATTATAAAATATTTTGAATTTGATAAATTTTAAAATCATATTAAGTTACAGTACAAAATAACCTCAGAAAACAAAAATATCAACCTAGCAACTAAATTATTAACATTCAGCAGTATTTGGACAGCTAACGTTGCACTGAGAAGGTTTTTGATACATGTAATAAAGTATTAAATCACACTTGAATAAGCTCTTACAGCATTAAATATGTTGCTCAGATATTTAAATTTATATACTAGAAATATTTTCATTTAATGTATATGTATTTTTTTAAATGAACAGGATAGCAGTACATGAACCTTCATTTATGATATCTCAGTTGAAAATCAGCGACCGGAGTCACAGACAAAAACTTCAGCTCAAGGCACTGGATGTGGTTTTGTTTGGACCTCTAACACGTTAGTATTCACTCTCTCAGAATATGATGCAAAAGAATAATCAGATCGTCTATTTGTTATCTAAAGAAGGAAAAAGTAAGGAAGGTAGTAGACCACTAAGAAGAATAATCTATTAGGTATAAAGGAAATTTAATATTATCTTAAAACAAAAAATTTATAGGGTCAGACTTTTTGTCAAAGAAATATAGAATGTGAAATGTTCAAAGCTGTTTATTGATATTAAAAGTTATAAACATTGTTAGTTGACAATTTAGAATTAAATTTCTAGATTTAAAACTTTGCGTCTTTAAAGCAATTTTGTTAATGTTATTATAGTTGGATGTTCACTGAAGAGTTCCTTTAAAAAATGGTGCAATCTAACCATCTTGATACATGAAGTAATAGAACCTAACTTGATTTCATTAATCACCAAAAAAATAATTTTTTTATGTAGATCAAAAGTAAAGGCCCACTTTAAAACTTTACAAAGTAATAGACTCTCCTGGCAGAAGCACAAGGTGGTGAATTGTTCTTTAGATTATTTTGAAGAGGAATAGTTAAGTAATTAATCTGTTCTATTCGTAAAGAAAATAAACCTGTATTTCTTTAATTTGACAGGACTACTGTTTCTCAGAAAGAAAGTTTAATATGCTTATTTAATTTAATTTTAAATTTCAGAAAGCGTTTCATGAAGCACATTTTAGGGGAATTATGTTTTATTTTTCCAAAGCCAAAAACAGATAACAAAATGAATACAAGAAATATGACTTCCACAAATTACAAATTAGGAAACTAACATTTATTTTACCTCCATTCTTGAAGCTAGGAGGATACTTGAAGGTTTCTATGATACTATCTCGGGGGTGGCTCTGCTAAAAAAGAGTTGCTGAAGCGGTTGGATGGATTCCATGACTTTACTGGAGGTTCTTTTTTGGCTCAGGCTAAAAGAGCAGCTGGTGAAACAGCTGGAACTTCCCTTTGTGAGGGTTGGTGGAAATGCACTGTTGGAAATTACAAACCCTAGGAAATAGAACACTACTGAAATGCCGAGCATTCCATGGAGATGATGCCCTTTCCAACCTTTTCCTTGTCTAAATTTTCTGCTGGGTCTCCTGGGGGTTGTTTTCTGTGCGATTCTTCCTAATTTTTTCATGTGGATGATTGGTGAAAATAGGAATTAAATTCCAGAATTTATCTCTATTAAAAACTTGGTCAGAAATATTTATATTTTATTAATTCAGGAACAAACCACTCTCTAAGCCAAGACAGTATTATATTGTTATTTGAAAAGGAACCAAATTAGTCTCAGAGAATGTTGAAAATAAATATTTTAATAAACTAATTAAGCTACATCTTTTTATTGTTTCTCTTAAAATTATTATTTGAATGAATGAGCCTGTAGTTGGAACACCCATGTTAGATTTATACAAACCCAGCATTGTCAAATGCAGAGAGATACATTTTAAAGGAGTTTTCCCTGAAATCTTTTCTAGTTTGTGGTACATAGTGCAGTTTGGAAACTTGCCCATCTATTTATTGTTATTTCTGGTGATTATATTTCAGCCTGAAAAGGGCTCATAATTGAACTAGAGCCTGAGTGGAACCTCTCAGTCTGAGGCAGAAATAGAAATAAATCCTTTGAGACTTTAGCCTTGGGTAGTGCATCTCTTTCACTGTGGGCGAGGGCATGCACTCTGGAAACACATGACCCTGAGGGTGTCTGGCATAGAGCATGCTATTCATCGCACTGTGCAAACATATACGAACCCTAGACTTGTAAGCACAGGAACTATTCACGCATACATTTTATTGTGTTAGTTATCATTGTGTCTTCCTCCAGAGAGCTCCCTAAAAATTAATGTGTATTGACAACTCTAATAAAGTTCCTAATAAACTAGGACATTATTTGACTAGTGATTTCTACGTTTTATATCACTGAAGACGGTAGGCCCTGGCTCCTTACTCCTTACTTAAAACAATGTTGGGGTTACTGTCTTGCCTGGCTTGATAGGGAAGGTGATCCTATTCTTTCTAATAACCCAGATATCTCTGGCAAGTAACCATCTAAAATAATATTGTTATGGTCATTTAACCCATGGTTTCTTAACCTTGGCATTATTCACATTGCAGATTAGGTAATTCCTAGGTAATTTTTTTATAGATGGGGGGTGAGTGGGGAATGATTTTCTTGTGCATTGTGGGATGTTTAACAACATCCTTGGCTTCTACCTACTAGACATCAGTAACAGCTCTCCCCAGCCGCTTTCACTCTCCTCCCAGTTGTGACCCCGAAAAAGTCTGTTTGCTGGGGGAAAATATCACCTTTGGTTGAGAATCACTGATTAGTCTTAATTAGTTACGTGGCTATATGCTTGGGGAAGGTGCTTTTTTGGTGAACGATTAGCATTCCAGGTTGTTTATCAAAGCATCACAGCTGCCTAACTTGACTATAGGAGTTGGAATGCGATGCTGACATTCTTTATGACTCCTTCACCCAGAGGACCATTCTCAGTACATGATGGGAGGTGCTGTCGGTTTTTCAGGGGCTCCAGGACTTTTCTTACTACCTCCTGTACCAGCAGGGACATGGAGCATCCATATTGGTTTGTCTCTGTTTCCTGTAGGTCTAGTATATCAGGTAGTTATAATAAACACATTGATTATTTGAAAAGGATTTTTTTAAAGGTTGAGCTTTTATATGGGAGGGTCATCTTGACTTTTTTTGTTTGTTTTATTTTAGATGCCTTCTAATTTTAAAAACGTCTCTCTGTGTATTGAGATTCTGTTACACTCAAAGATTAATTTAACCATCTTTAATTCTCTTCATAGGCCCTGCTCATAACTGGATGAAGGATTTTATCCTCATAGTTTCTATAGTAATTGGTGTTGGAGGTTGCTGGTTTGCTTACACACAGAATAAAACATCAAAAGAACATGTTGCAAAAATGATGAAAGACTTAGAGAGTCTGCAAACTGCAGAGCAAAGTCTAATGGACTTACAAGAGAGGTGAGTAAGTAAAACAAGCTATAAGTCTTCTTATTTATGTAGGAAAATACAATTTGTGAAAATGTAATATGGGCATGTGCATGTACACATTTAGATTGATACACACATCAGGAATGTATACTTCATTTCATATATATATACAAAAGTATCATATTTTTATAATTATGGATTTATTATGAAGGCATGCTCTAGGGAATGAATGGGTAGAGACCAATGGAAATCAATCATAAATAGGTGGAATTATGTGTGAAGTTAAATTATATTTTTTCCATGATTTAAATAATTATGTATTTCCTAAAAGTCTCTTTGCTAAGAGTATTTCTCTGTTATCCCTGTATTTTGATCTTAAGATAACCAAAATAGTCTGGCCATTGTGGCTCAATAGACCTATGAACCAGAGGTCACAGTTCAATTCCCCGTCAGGGCACATGCCCAGAGCTGATCAATGATTCTCATTATTGATGTTTCTATCTCTCCCTCTCCCTTTCTCTCTGAAAGCAATAAAAATATATATTTTTAAAAAGATAACCAAAATAGCTGTATATAATAGGCTACCTGATGTTTTTATTATCCAGACTTAAGATTAATAGAAAATTATGCAAATTTTGATTCCATGTATCATACTGCTTGATATGTATTTATTTTTTATTTATAAAATGAAATTTTGGAAACTTTTGTGAGGAATTACATTTTTTACTCTTTAAGACTTGAGAAGGCACAGGAAGAAAACAGAAATGTTGCTGTAGAAAAGCAAAACCTAGAGCGCAAAATGATGGATGAAATCAATTTCGCGAAGGAGGAGGCTTGTCGGCTGAAGGAGCTGAGGGAGGGAGCTGAAAGTGAATTGAGTAGACGTCAATATGCAGAGCAGGAATTGGAACAGGTATTTACATTTTTTAAAAAAGTATTTGTTAGAATATTTGTATTGTCATTCTGAGTTTTTTGTTTTTGTTCAATCTTGTACATTTAGTTCAATTGTATACTCTTCAGTTAATCAAAGACTCATTTGTTCATATTGTTTGCATTGATCAAAGTCCTTTTAGCAAAATAACAAAGTAGTAACTAAAAGATAAAGTTGCCATCATGTTCTCTCATTCATGAAATCTCATCCCAGGCCATGTCAATTGTCTTGAAAATGTAATGCGTTTATTTAATTTAACATCTGTAATATGTTTCCATTTTTAACTGTAACCTAGTAAAGTATGTCTAATGTTAAACTTCTCTGCAAAGGTAAAGAATCTCTATTAAGCATCATTTGAGTCCTATTAAATGGCTTTAGAATATAATCTGTTAACAATTGTGAGGTTGTCTAAACTTTAGATTCTAAAGCAGCAGTTGCCAACCGGTGGTCCGCGGACCACTGGTGGTCTGTGAGGTCCAAAAAAGATTGGCGACTGCTGTCTAAAGGGTGTCCTTTCCAATATCTGCTTCCACTATGAATTTACTCAAGATGGATAATAGGCATTCAGGCATTGGGTAGTCCTGTGGGCAGTGGTTCTGTAAGAATTTAATTATAGGCAGATATATTTGGTTGTTATTCCTTCTATAAAATATTAACACAAACTTAGTGGCTTTAACACAACACATCTTTATTGTCTTATAGTTCTCAAAGTCAGAGTTTAAAATAGGTCTGTAGGCTTGCATTCCTTCTTGAGGCCCTAAGGGAGGATCTGTTTCCTTGCTTTTCCAATGTCTAGGGGCCGCCTGCATTTCTTGGCTCTTGGCACCTTCCTTCATCTTCAGAGCATGTCACTGCAACCTCTGCTTCCATGGCCTCATCTCCATTTTTGACTCTGACCCTTGTATTATTGGTAAATAAACTGAGGAACAAAATGAGGAGGAAAAAACTTTCTCAAGATTAGAGAGTGACTCAGTTGTAAACCAGGGCCAAGAACCTAGGTGTTCTGCCTTCCACTTTGCTTTCTGTAATTGTTGCCTTCTCAGTCAAGAGCTAAATAAGAAATAGAAATTATGTGATGAATGAGTTTCAATTTCAACTCCTGAGGAAATGTTCAAAGTGAAGTTACTATTTCTTTTGAGTTTGTGATTTTTGGCTGAATGCAGTCAGCCATCTCTTTTATTAACTGCTAACTATTCTTTCCGTATACCCCAGACATCTGTGTGTTTTTTTATCTTTTCCCTGGAAAGAGTTTGTTCTTTTAAGTTGGCTTCTGGACATATTTGCCGTCAGGCTCTATTTACCTGAAAAAAACAAAAACAACAAAAAACACTTCTGTATAGAACATAGTAAAGAACAGGGGATTAACAACAACAAAAAAGGCCTCGCTTAAATTATAGTGTTCAAGACTTAGATCCTTTGCCCTTTACCTTTGTGAGAACTCCCTGCCTGTTCCCACTGAGACTTCTAACTCTTGGTTTGTTCCCAGTACTAAATTAAAAGCTTGTTAGATGTTTTTCTGAACTTTGCAGATAAAAAAGTACAAATCAGAAAACAGTAGTGGGAACTCTCTACACTATGGAGATATAAACTGATAGCAGTATTTTATAGGTGACTATTTCACAGTAAGGGAGAAGACAATATAAAAGAATGCCCAAGAATCACTAACATTCTCATCTGAGGTTTTTGGTATGGAGACCCTAAGATTACCATGGTATGATGTCTCAGTACAAAGTAAGAATCCTAATGAGATCCTGAATCAGTAAGAAGTAAGTTTAAAGGAGAGAAATGGGTATTTAAAAAGGTCTCTATCCAATATGATTATAGAAATAAATAATTTTATGAGTGTTTGTGTTTTATGCATATTACAAATGGTCCATTGCTGAATTTTAATCTTCACAAAACATAGAGATTACCCTCATTTACAGATGAGATATCTAAAGAGGTCCGTAGGTTAAATAACTTAGGTTAAATTTAGGTTAAATAACTTACCATAGGACACACAGTGGCAAGATTAAGTGGCAAAGGCAAGATACTGCATGTCATATTCCAGAGTCCGTGTTTTCCTTTGATGTTATTAAAGGCTTTGTTTATAGAGTAAGTTTAACTGGGAAATTAATTTCAGTACATTATTATATAATCCACATTTCCACATAGTTGGGAGCATTACTATATTTTGTCTTGGGGATAAATCAACTTCTCAAAATTAGAAAGCAAGAGAATCTGGTACATATTTTATATAGTGTTCTTTACCCTAAAACAAAAACTTTTGGGTAAATAATAGTACCACTTTATATTTTGTGTAAATTCTTTTCACATACGTAATTTTTTTCTTAAAGTCTAAAGAAGCTTTAGTCAGGACAATCCATGGTACCCCTACTCTACATGAGACATTCAACCTCAGAAAGTAAAGAATTTGCTGAAGGTCAGAGAGGTAATAACGAATAAAGTTGCATGTAGAAGCCAGGTTTTCAGATGTTTAGGCTGTTTCTTTCTAATACCATGTTTTTACTTATTGCTGTTTTACACAAAAAAACTATGTCAATAATTATTATATTTTTAAACAACTTAGTAATTCATCATTTGTGAAAGCTATTAATTAATTTTAGATCCATCCTCCTATAAATAACAATGTAATTCAGACTAAGGGTTGGAATTTAGGTCAAATGATAAACTTATGAATTAGCAGAAAAATAGTTTAAATAGTTGCTATTATTAGAAGGTAAGGATTTTTAAAAATTTGAGACATATTTGACAGTCAATCAAAACATTGTTTAGCCTTATTTATATAGAAATATATCAATTCTGTGTTAAATATGTTCATTGAATTATTTTAGGAGAAATAAATTTGTAGATATAACATTAAGGAAAATTTTAATGATTAAAGAGAAAAACTTTAGTGAAATTTGTTCAGATTCTCTGTATACTTCTTTGGCAGTGAAAACTACAGAAGAAAATTTAGCTTTAAAATCTTGTCAGAAGAAGGGCCTGCAGCCCTTCACTTGGTGGTATTATCTAGACCTGTACATCACAGGACCTGAGCTCACATTCTCTCTTCCTGAGAGATTAGCAGGACGCCACACAGCTTAGCCAAGCTTCTTATTAAACACAGTATTGTCCCAAGCACATTGCACAGTGAATTGTGTCAGGCAAATGTTGCTTAGGATTTGTTTTCAGTGATCTTATCCTTGCTTTTAATATTTGTTTTTTGATTTATCTACTTAGTGTCCATTGTGAATTTTTGTTCTTAAATTGTAGACTTTTAAAAAAATACTTTCTGCGTATTTTTTTCTTACAGTATCTGACAGCCATTCTGTTTCTTCATCAAAAGTTTGTATATAGTACTCTTAGTTTAATCTGGCAAATGATAAAGTTTATTTAGATCAAACATTCTCCTGCATGTTGGTTTAGGAGTAGAGTTTTAGTTACCTTACTTAGCCTAAGGAAAATTAATTTTCAGTTATGGTATTCAGAAGCAGGATTCTCCATAGCTCACTCCTTACTCTGTGTGAAGGACTTCAGCATATGTAATTCCATAAATTTCATCATGTGTCTTTACATATCTTTAGCTTGAACTCTGCTAGTTTAAGTGAATCATTCCTAGAATGGGTTGTTTCTTCCTTCTGTGTCCTTTTCTTTGTGACACTTTCCTTAAGAGTATTTTCCTTAGCATGTAATACCATGTCCCACACTAAGCATTGGCTCCCTTCAAGGGTAGCTGAAAGAAAGACTTGGTCACTGAAGGCTATGCATGGTTTCTCATGGAAAATCAGATGAACCCTCAGTCAGAATCAACTTTCTCGAAATTTACAATTTATCTACTTTCTGGTATATTAGGAGCAGTGGATTAAATAGCAGAGGTAAAAATTCTCCAGAACAGTGAGTGTATAGTTATGGAGTATGTAGTAGGACTTTGGGGTAATGTTAGAAAGGGTAATAGAATAGGACACTTATTCATATCCTACTTCATAAATAATGCATTGTGAGACGAGTGTGGTAAGTTTTAGTTTTTATATGCCCTAGATTTATTTTTTTCACTCTTAGTGAGTCTTGTTATAATAAAATATAAAAACTAAATATTTCAGCTTAAGGTCTATGTAGGTCCCCTCTATCCTCTGGCTTTACCACTTTGCATAGTGAATTTAAGATGCTCTTAAAACTTCAGCTTAAGTTTTAATGTCAGAAATATATTGTTTTAGACTTTGTGATTTAAAATGTTGTTTACAAAGAGCATAATTAAAATGGCTTTTTCTCTTAATTTGGGTACTAAAATATCCTAATTTCTTTAAAAATTTTTTAATTTGAATATCTTAAGAAAAGAAATTTCTCTCTTTCCTTCCTTTCTCTTCATCCCTCTCTCCCTCCTCCTCCCATCCAGGTTCGAATGGCTTTAAAAAAGGCTGAAAAAGAATTTGAACTCAGAAGCAGCTGGTCTGTTCCAGATGCACTTCAAAAATGGCTTCAGTTGACACATGAAGTAGAAGTACAGTACTACAATATTAAAAGACAGAATGCCGAAATGCAATTAGCTATTGCTAAGGATGAGGTACTCTATTATATTTCAAAACTTATTAAATTTCTAGAAGGATTAACCAGTTGAATACAAAGATATGAATACATTTTTATTATTGCAGATTCTTTTCTTGAACTGGAACTTATTGCATTAATTGACTCTCATAATCATAGGCTATAAAGTAGAATTGCTTTCTTTAAAGAGGTGTATACCTTCCAGAATGACCTTAGTGTCATTTAAAAATCATCCCTATTATCATTATAAATGTTTTATACAGAGCTTTTCTCCTCTAGGTTGCTGCTTCATATCTGATTCAGGTCAGTAGTTACTAGAAATTAATGTCTGACTTTATTAAATTGTGTGAAATACGATTAAGTATTAATCTGATATGTAACACACACACACAAAAGAGTTCAGTTCACTCACTAACACCTCTATTGTAGTAGAATATAATGTTATTTGTTAGTTTTAATAGAAAATTCAGGTCTTTCTGAATCACAGAAATAAGAGACAAATTCTCCAGAACAGAGTTTTTAATCATATCGTTTAAGTTGGGAAAGCATGTTTGTTTTTTCCCTCATCTATTTTCTTTTTTGGAAAATAGGGCTATATATTATTGACTGATAATTTTTCACTGGTTTTATGATTATTAATATTTTTAAAACAAAATAAACTTCATTAATATATGTATGTTTTCCCCAAAACTAGCCTTATTTTTCTCTCCTTTGGTTTCTAGGCAGAGAAAATTAAAAAGAAGAGAAGCACAGTCTTCGGGACTCTGCATGTTGCACACAGCTCCTCCCTAGATGAGGTAGACCACAAAATTCTGGAAGCAAAGTAAGAATGTTATTTTAGTTGTTTATTTTCACTGTGCTGAAATATGTAATTCATGGACACTTTATATTTTAATTTGATCATGTATCACATAATTCATACTAATTCTAAGAGTGTGTAATTTCTTCTTGAAATTAGCTAATTGCCATGTTCTATTCATGTAGTTGTATTTTTTCAGTGCCATATTAAGGACTATTTGAAATAACAAATAATTCCTATGTTGTCTTTTCCAGGAAAGCTCTCTCCGAGCTGACAACTTGTTTACGAGAACGACTATTTCGCTGGCAACAGATTGAGAAGATCTGTGGCTTCCAGATAGCCCATAACTCGGGGCTCCCCAGCCTGACCTCTTCCCTTTATTCAGACCACAGCTGGGTGGTGATGCCCAGAGTCTCCATTCCACCCTATCCAATTGCTGGAGGAGTTGACGATTTAGATGAAGATACACCTCCCATAGTGTCACAGTTTCCTGGTAAGTGATGAGTTCAAAAGAGAATTGGGATAGCTTTAAAGTAACTTTATACCACGCCGTTTATGGAGCATTTACTTTGAAGGCTGTGATAAAACATCTTGTACGTTCTTTGTTTTTTCTTTTTGTTGTTAATTTGTGTTTACTGTTTCAGAATAATGTCTGAGGTAGGTGTGTGTGTGTATATGTGTGTGTGTGTGTGTGTGTGTGTGTGTGTGTGTGTTACATCATACATGCTAAATCACTTTTATGAATGAAGGGCTGAGCTTTGAGGAAAAACAATCTTTCAAAAAGCAGTGTAATCTATAGTACAAAGTAAAATTTAGGCAAGCTCTAATCCTGTGTTCCAGTCCTAGCTGTGCCACTAACTAACCAACTGTGTGACTTTCAGCCAGCCTGTGATTTTTTTAAAATTGAGTTGACATTCTCAGTAGGCATGTTTTTTTTAATATTTTGTTTTGCTTTTCCAATTCTGTGCTTTTACTGAAAGAGTTTTGACTCATAAAGCACTGAATCAATTTACCTTTATATAAAATTAAACTGTGTTTATGTCTATGTTTAGAAAATTTTGTAGATTTTTTTTGTTGCTAGAAAATGTGCAGTTCCTTTGTTATGTTCTATTCTTTGAAAATTTTTACATGGTAAAGAATACATTTTGGCAGGAAAGTGAAATTTAAATATTTTAGATTTTATTAACAAATTGCAGAATTTATTAATAAGTATTTGGACTTTTTGCAAAGTTCATGTAGGGCTTTGGTGTAACGTTAGAAGGGGTTGAATTTAAGATGGTGTATTTTATGATTTAGAAATCATTATCCTTATTATTGTCTACCGGCTTCATTTTTCCCAACCTTTCTGATCTTTATGAAAACAGTGTAGAACAGGAGTCCAAAGAATGGAGAGCAGAAGTTAATTATTGATTGAAGACAATTATAGCTTTTCTGAAGTTATGATTTAGAAAGGGTTCTAATTTTTAAAACAATTTTATGAAAGAAATCTCGTAAATTTTCAAATAAATAGTGATTTTGTGTTTATGTTCATGTTTGTGGTTTTCATTCTAAGGTTGGAAAAATGAAACCAGCAGGCAGATAATGCAAACAGATTGTGGAGGCACTAAATCTTACAAGAGGACGGAGGAGAGGACAGATTGTGTTGTAATGAGTGACCTCACTCATTGTGTGACTGAATGTGTGACCTCACTCATTTCACCAGCCCTATGCTGCAAGAGAGTGATGTTGCAAAGTTATATCTAGATCTGGGCCAGCTCTGCTCTTTGAATATTGTGTTTATTTGAATTATATGCCCTAAGCTTAACAAATGTAACACTGATTCATAGGTATATGATGCAGTTTGAAAACTAAAGTTTTTTTTTAATGTTGCAGTCCCTCCTTAGAATGCATAATTATGCACCATCAGAAGTGTGCATGAAGATGTATTCCCTAAATTAACTAGATTTTTTAAAGTACTTTTTTTTTGAGGGAAAAGATATTCATATGTGCATTAAAACACTTAGCATTAAATGTGAATAATTATCTTAACTTTTCAGTAATTGTGATGTATAAATTTGAACTTTTAAATATGAAAAAAAGTATAAGTTGATTTTGAAGTTAATATGATGTTTAAAAATGCTGTGAGCAAATTTATTATCTTTGAAAAATAACTCATACCAAAAATTATACTTGGAGAGCTTTGCTTCCACCCAGTGGCACAGCAGTGATACTTCACTCTGCTTAGTTACAAAAGCATAATTTCTAGACCTGATAAATAAGAAACTCCTGGCAGTAGGATGAGGGTCTAAGGTAGGATAAAGGCTCATAATTATACACCCTCCTGAGCAGTTTTAAATTTGTTCTCTGGGTATGTAAGCTGTGTAAGTTTGAAATAATGACAAGGAAACATTCCTGTGGCATGTTAAGAGCAAAGTAAGGTTGTAAAACTATACATACATAGCATAATATTGTCTGTGTTTAATTATTTGTAAGGAAAAAAGACAGAGAAGATACTATCAAAGGTTAGCCCTGTGTGGGTAGGAGCAGATGTTTGTTTGTTTTCCTGTTGGTACTTTTATAGTACTGCTAAACATTCACAGTGGGAATGCAGTAGCAATTTATTTAACATTTGTTATTATAAAGCCTTTCAGATATTCCTAAAAACAATATGCTCACCTACTACAAAGGTAAACAGATGTTAACATTTTGCTTTACTCATCTCTTTATCAAAATAAACCATTACAGCTACAGCTAAACCAGATCGCCTCCCTTTCCCACTCTTCTAAAGTTGTTTACATTCTAAAGCCTATTGTACTTTTATTACATGCAGGTATATTCATAAACAATAGATACAATTGTTACTTATTTTAAAATTTACATAAATGTTATCAAACTATATATTGGTATAGTTTTTAACTCTTTTTGCTCAAAACTGTTATATAAATTTTCCATGTTTACATATAGTTAAATTTACTGTAACTGTTGAATATAAGTTAACCACAGTGTATTTATTTATTGTAATAATAAACCACAGTTTATCCCTTTTTCTACTGAGATAGGTTCTTTCTCCCTCCCCCCCCCTTATAAAATACTACTACAATGAGCATCTTTATTTTCATCTCCATGTCGTAGCTCTGAGGGCTTCTCTGGGTGAACACCTAGAAATGGATTGCTGAGTTGTGGTGAAGACACCGCTTACTAGTCATTGCCAAGTTGCTCTCAAAGTGGTTCTATCAGTTTTCACAACCACTATATATGAGAGCCTGTCTTCTTATATCCTTACAATATTTGGAATGGTATGATTTGGTTTATAACTTGAATGGATGTTATATTATACCTTACTGTTATTAAAAATTTTATTTCCTTGATGACTATTGAGATCGAGTACCATATCATTTATTGACATTTGTTCAGATTCCTTTCTATCTGAGTTCTTTGTTCCTGCTATGGAATTTTCTCCAGGATTTCTTACTGACCTGGAAGAATTTTTTTAAATGTTGCCTGGTTATTTGAGGGTTGAAGACATCTTCTCCTAGGATTTGCCTTTGCTTTTTTTATTGTGCTATGTTATTTATTTTCTTTTTTAATCAGAAGAGTTTAAAAAATATTTTAATGACAAATTTATGATTTTTGCTTTTTATGTCTTTTTCAGAAGGTGGTAGTTTTGTTAGCTGTCCTAAAAGTTTTTAAGTTTTGCTTTAATCCCTTAGTCTTTTAATCTACCTAGAAGTTATTTTTGTTCATATTGTGAACAGGATACATCATAGTATAGATAAACAGTTGTCCCAGCCTCATTTCTCCTCTATCTGCTGATTTTTGATACCACTTCTCTCCATAGACACATAAATGCTTCTAGGTTCTCTGTTTTCTTTCATTGGTCCCATTCTGCCTTAGTTGCTACTTATAGCTTCATAGTAAGTATTGAGGTTTGGTACTTCAAAGCCTTCATTTATTATTCAGCTTCAGTTGCTACTCTGGGTCATTTTAGGATCAGCTTATGAAATTCCATTGGGCTTTTACTGGAATTTCTTTGAATTTACTTGGGAACAAATATTCATAAATTCCATTTGAGACCTACTTTTATATCTTTAAGTAAAATTTACAATTTTCTCTGTGTAGTTCTTGCATATATTTTGTTTTCAAGGTTAATTTCTAGGTATGATAGCTTGTGCTGATATTTAGGGAAGTGCTGTTGATTTGGGTATACTGATCTTGTATACAGAAAAATTGAATTCTCTTCTAAGGGCCTTTTGGATTTTTTTTGTATAGACAATAATAATGAGTTGCTGTTTTCTTCCCAATCCTTTTGATTTTTCCCCCTTGTTATTCAGTCTAAAGCAGTGGTTCTCAACCTTTCTAATGCCACAACCCTTTAATACAGTTCCTCATGTTGTGACCCCCAATTTCATTGTTACAAATTGAACATAATTAAAGCATAGTGATTAATCACAAAAACAATATGTAATTATATATGTGTTTTCCGATGGTCTTAGGTGACCCCTGTGAAAGGGTTGTTCGACCCCTAAAGGGGTCGCGACCCACAGGTTGAGAACCGCTGAAGCCTCCCATAAAGTGTTGAATAAGAGTGGTGATTGCAGGTAGTAGTGGTTGCCATTTCTGACTGATAAAATAATGCTCCCAATAATATTTCATCATGAAGTGTGATATTTTTCTCTCTACATTTTTGGTAGAGTGCTTTTGAATTAAGAAATTTAATTTTTATTCCTATTTTGCTAATAATGATTTTTCTTTTAAATCAATGGATATTAAATTTTACCAACATCTTCTGCATATTTTGAGGTGATCACTTTATTTTTTTATTTATAATTTTAATCTACTTAATTAAATATGTAAAAACTCTAAATAAAATAATATAGCATACAAATCCAATTTATTATAAAAACAGTACATTGTGACAAACCAAATCCAATTTATTATGCAAACAGTACATTATGACTTATGATAAATTGGATTTGGTTTGCTATATTATTTTATTTAGGGTTTTTATATCTTTAATCATACATTAGTTTAGCCAATAATTTTCCTTCCAAACACTCTGTTTGATTTTGATATCAAGGTTACTAGTAAAACTAGCATCACAAAGTAAGTCAAGGAATATGCCTATTTTTCCATCCCATTCTTTCCTACTCTTAAATAGAGGTAGTAAAATGTAGTGGTTAAGAATGTGGGTTCTGACCCTGGCTGGGTAGTTGTTGCTTAGAGCATCATCCTGACACACCAAGGTTGTGGGTTCGATCCCTGGTCAGGGCACATATAAGAAATAAATGAAACAACAAATCAATGTCTCTGTCTCTCTCTGCCTCTCTCTCTCTCTCTCTCTCTCTCTTTCTCTCTCTTCTGTCAAATCAGTAAATATTAAAAGAATGTGGGCTCTGAAACAAGACTGCATAGATTTGAACGTTTACACCACCATTAATATGTATCACACCCCCTCACCTTATAGGTTAATGTTGTCCAGTATTTTGTTTTGAATAAAACATCCATTATTTTTTATTTGTGTAGCCTTGTAGGAAGCACTCTTTCTGAGTCTCTATAAAATGTAACCCACCTTGTGTAATTATTTTGTCATTTAAATAATAATACCTGTAAAACACTTAGAACAGATCCTAACCCATAATAATACCCAATAAATGTTTTGAATTTTTATTCCATACTCTGATAGTATAAAATACAGATTATTTGTTCTTTAAGGATTTTTGGCAGGAGGAAAGGGGGCAGATTTTTTTTTTCAAACTATTGATTTAGATTCTTATAATGGGAAAAAGCCTACTTTTAAGTTATGTGATTCTAAAATATTGTTTGTTTTACCTGAGTTTTAAAATTTGTTGGCTTAAAGTTGTCCATAGTATTTTACATGATTTAAAAATTTTCACTTATATTTAAAAATCCTTTCATTTTCCTATCCTTGCTTAATCTGGCATAATTTGACTATTTTATTTCACTCACTCTTTCATTCCTCAAAGAACTGTTTTTTTTGTTGATATTCTCCATTTATTTCTGCTCTTTTATTTTCTTTATTGGAATTTATTTTTTTTGTTTGTTTTATTATTTAGACACCTAGCTTATGAATTTTTAGTTCTCCTTTTTTCCTTAATGTATGATTTTATGGCTACGAATTTTTCTCTAAGAACCACTTTAACTGTTGCCTTCTTCTGTCTGTAGTTTTTTACTGAGCTATTTTAAAGAGATTTTTTTTAAAACATATGCTTTCACTGAGGACTGTAGCCCATCTAGACCCCAGCTTTTATCCAGAACACTCACAATTCCTATTCCTTACTTCATGTTGGCTCAAGGTGTCTTTCATATCCCGAATGATAACCCAGACCCCTGAATTATTGTGACTGGGAACCTCCACAGTAGTGCCACCGTCACTCACAGATCTAGTAGTTCTTTCTTTTATCCTCTCTGTTTTGGCATCTGATTTTTTTTTTCTTCCTTGCAAGTTTGCATTTAGAACTATTGTTGTATTTTATTCATCATATTGAAGTGTTTGAGGGTATTTAAAGTGCATTGTTGAGAATTGGGAAATGCTGGCCAGGTAATCTTTGACTGCCATATTGTTAGAACCAGAAGTCCATATATGGCTTATTATTTCTGGTTGTTGGTGGCAGGGGGAATCCCTTATTACAAAACAAAATTTACCTTCTCTGGCATAAGGAAAAACAGTTTGCAATAGAGGGTCATATTAAATCGCTGTGCTTCTCTTATCTAATTATTGATAATAGAATGAAAATTATCTCAGTAATTTCTGTATAATGAACTTGGATGCTTTATTTAACTGCTCTTATAAATCACAGGTGGGGTGGATATCTGCCTTCACTGGAAATTAATAATAGCCTGAACATGTTGTAAAATATTCACATTATGTAAAGGAATGCTTGTTGAAAGGTCAAAGTGCCTGCTTTTTAATACTGTGATTTTATAGTGTTATAACTGTCTATAGCCCCATCCAGTCCTCTTCAGGCAACAAGGAAGAAAGACCCTCAACTCCGAGTGTATATAACTCTAATACAGGGATTCATATATTTTTTTTTTTCAGGCAAAAGACATGGCAACATATTAAGAAAAAAATTTTTTGAAAATATTGTATATTTGTGAGCAATACCTTTTTTTTAAATCCTCAAGTGAAGATATTTTTTCCATTGATTATTAGAGAGAGTGGAAATGATAGGGGGAGAGGAAGAGGAAGAGAGAGGAACATTGATGTGAGAAAGACACATCAATTGGTTTCTCCCGCACATGCCCCGACAGGGCCAGGGATCAAGTCTGCAACTGAGGTATGTGTCCCTGACCGGAATTGAACCCGAGACCCTTCAGTTTACAGGCTGATGCTCTATCCATTGAGCCAAATCAGCTAGGGTTCTTTTTTTTTAATAGACTTTTTTTTTTTTTTTTTTGAGAGAGAGAGAGAGAGAGAGAGAGAGAGAGAGAGAGAGAGAGAGGTGGGGAGAGAGAAATATCAGTGTGAGAGAGAAACATCACATGGACCAGTTGCCTCCCACATGCACCCCCAACCAAGGATCAAACCATTGAAAAATCCAACTTATATTTTACTGATAATTTCCTTCTTTTAATGTTGAAATTTATTTTGTAACAAAGTACAAATTCCTTGTAAATATGCTATATTGATTTTCTGAATTTAAGGATTTATTATGTTGGGTAAATTTTAAAATCTTTTTGGTTAGTAATGTCAAATTTAATATTAAAACCTAATTTGTTTATGTTCATTTCTGTTTATTTTTAGACTTGATTTCATTTTTGTTAGATTTTATTTTTTATTTCTTAACTTTCCTGAGGAGCAGTAAAGGTGATGGAGGATGGTAATAACGGTTCAGTCACTTATTTCAGTAAGGTAGAGTAAAAGATTACATCTTAGTAACATCAGTTCTCTTTTGTGAATATTTATAGCGTGTACAAAGGAGCACTGGGTTTCATGAGCTTTTTTAAAATTTATGTTTGGTTTTCAGGGACCATGGCTAAACCTGCTGGTTCGTTAGCCAGAAGCAGTAGCTTGTGTCGCTCTCGTCGCAGCATCGTGCCGTCCTCACCACAGACCCAGCGAGCTCAGCTACCTGCCCACGCTCCGCACCCGCCACACCCGCGGCATGCCCACCATCCCCAGCACACCCAGCACTCATTGGCCTCCCCTGATCCAGATATCCTCTCAGTGTCAAGTTGCCCTGCTCTTTATAGGAGCGAAGAGGAGGAGGAGGCCATTTACTTCTCTGCTGAGAAGCAATGGTATTGGCAGTGAATAAACTAAGTATATGTTGGCTGCTGTGTGGGAGGTGGGAGTGGGGTGGGTAGGACTGATGTGTCTTACCAGTTCTCCATTGCTGCACAAGAACGTACCACAACTTAGTGATGTCAAACAGCACCCAGTTTTTAGCGCTCAGTTCTGTATGCCCAAGTTCAAGCTTGGTGTGGCCGGGCTTTCAGCCCAGGATCTGACAAGGGTAAAATCAAGGGATTGACTGAGCTCCACTCTCATCTGCAGCTTTGGGGCCTCTTCAAAGCTCAGTTGGTTATGGAAGAATTCAGTTCCTTGGGGTTATAGCATTGAGGTCCGGTTCCTGTGCAGGGGCTGCTCTCAGTTCCTAGAAGCTGCCCGATGTTCCTTTCTCCATGTGGCGTCCATCTTCAAAGCCAGCAACAGAGAGTTTCCCTTTGGTCAAATCCTTCCTTTGCTTTGAATCTCTGACTGCCTCTCTCTCTCATCTCTAGACCCAAATTTAAAAGGCTCACCTGGATAATAATCTCTCTATATTAAGGTCGACTGGTTTATGCCCTTAATCACATCTGCAAAATCCCTCCTATGTTAGTGTTTGATTGAATAACTAACTGGGAGCCCTGGTCAGTGTGCTCACTGGTTAGAGTGTCAGCCCACACACTGGAGTCCCAGGTTCCATTCCTGGTCAAGGGCACATACTTGTGTGGCTGTTTTGATCCCCCAGCCCGAGTTGGGGTGTGTGCGGGAGGCAACCAATCTATGTGTCTCTCTCACATCAATGTCTCCCGCCCTCCTTCCCTCTCTCTCTAAAAGTCAATGGGAAAAATATTCTTGGGTGAGGATTAACAAAAGCAACAACAACAAAATAACTGACTGGGAGAAGATGTCTGTGTACTAGGGCTGGGAATTTGGGGACCACTATACAGACATAGGAAGATATTTTGAGGTACCGCTTTTAGAAGTCATAGCA